AAAAACGGAATAATGCAGACTATGAGAGGCTTACACCCAAAGTTACTCTATCCACATAACCCAGTAAACAGCTTAAATTGGAGGGGCAGTTAAATGGTTTTCAGTATATAGGCAAATCATACTGAATGGTTAACTAGGATTGCAAATGAACACAATAAGGATGAGTGTGCACAATATAAAAAATTAAAAGGACAGTACAACAACAACAACAACATACCCAATATATTCCCACATGCGGGGACAAAAAAAAACAAAATTAAAAGGACAGTACATTGAGCAAATACAGTAAACAAACACTTCAGGAAAAAAGCAGCATGGCAGCTTTTACCTAGTGGGTAGTATCTTTTATGTCAATTAACTCAACCAAGACACAATAGTTCCATTAACTTAATGCTCATCAAGAGAACAACTTAAATGACTCAACTAAGCAACTGCAAAACACTGAGATTTTCCAAATAAATTTATGCCTCAGTAACATGAAATAGTTAGCACAAGAAAAGAGTACTTCCCAATGATCTTGTATTATTAGACAACATATCCATAATATTGAAATGTATAAACTACCACTAAGAAGATTTAGAGGAAATCAAACCTTAGTGCGTGGTTGAGAATCATGAGAACCGTAATCAGTGTATACCCATGGAAAAATCCACTGCAGAAGATAAAGTCAAATTGTAAAACTTTACATAGATCACAAAATATAAACCCAATCTGAAGAAATACTTGTCCTATCAAAAAGAGCTATTGTCTGTTACAAACAGCGCATAATGCAAATATGTACTTTGTAAAGTGAAAGAAAGGAGTGCTATCAACTTACTCATTCATGACTGCGTCAAAATCTTGAGTCATTATTGCAAAAGCATTGAAAATCATCCCAAAGACATACAACCAGAAGTTCTGAACATTAATATTTCTTGAAGGTCGCTTCTTAATTATAGCCTGCAAAGATAAAACAAAACTATGCACATTGTATCTGAATCTAGTTTACAAAACTATGCACATAGTATCTGAGACTAGTTTACTTTAACATTACAATGAGCATTTTTCCATTATGCTGACGAAGCCTGAGATGGTAATTCAAAATTTACGAAAACAGGCATAACTATAGTAAAGCAAAATCAGTCAGAAGCAGTTCAGAGGTCATTAAGTGCATATCTTTAAACTACTAATCTAATAGAACATATCTGAAAAGATGTACCTCTGTGTAAACTCCTGCAAAACCACTCAAAAGGGCCATTACCTGAAATCAAACAAAGAGGCATTTCAACCATCAGAAGAATTTGTTTTAACCTTAATATTATATAGTCCCATGGAATATCTGCAACTTACAATAGCCATAACCCAACCTTGCAAAGGAGTCTGAAGAACATGATCAGAACTGTACAGAAAGCATCATTCATTAGAGAAACCCATCAAAATATTTCATTTCTCCATTCATATAGAATCAACAGAACAAAACAGTAACCATGATTCTCATCTTTTATCCTCCAGGCTGAAACACAAAAATCTATACAGCTATCCATCCATATAAGCAGTTCCAGAGATAAGATGCGGAAACTACTATGTTAATCACCTAGGATTAAGTTGTGCAGTGGTGCACCCAGCACACAGTAGAATGAAAGCAGCCCACTGAATCTCAGTTAACCTGTAAGCCAATCTTGCTTTGAGTGACAAAAAATAGAAGATCAAAATAGGTAAACAATTAGGAGCAGATTCTTAAAATACTATCCAGAAATATGACAGAGTGTAGCATACCCGCAGTCACCTTGAAAAACCACATATGTTACCAGCTTCCTATAGTCATAGCGGTCTTTCAAATCTTCTTTTTTATAAGAAAAGCTTTTCCTTGAAGAGTGTCTTTAGTGGAATCCTCTTTCTGTTTTTACAGTTTTGGGATACATACAATATTCTTGATGACAAATGCATTTCATAGAGAATTTAAGATTTTCACTTTTTCCGTTACATGAATAAAATTCAAACTTCATAAAAGGACAAGCTTTTTCAGTTAATCCACCGTACAGAAAACAGTGCAGGACAATCTTGCAGTACAAGGTTTCAGGATAGTTAGATATATCCCTGCTCCTTATATTATAAACAATAAAGTCTACCAAGAATCAACTAAACTCCCAGACATGGCGCAACAAACTGTATAGGGCTATAGGCTTTAGTGAGTGTTAACTGCTCCTTCTTTGACAAATCAAAGTGAAACTAAGGGGATACATAGCTACCCTGTTTCCATCCCTAAACAAAACAGATGCACACCATATATATGCAAACACAGAAAACTTTTTACTCTCCTATGCAGTGTGTTGTCCAATATGACACCCTTAATTAGTGAAAGGACTTACTTCCTTTTAAGAATAATTTGATACAATACGCCGGTGCTGATAATGTTCAAGTTCTTCAGTATCTGATATCCAGGAGCATCTACGTATGCAAAAATGTAATACTGCAAAGACCCGTGCAATTTCAATCAACTATATGCAAATAGACATGTGAGATAAAAGAACTAATCAGGTTTGGGAGTTAAAAAAGAAGAAATAACCAAAGAGAAAGCTGAACCTGCCTGAAGTAGATTCTTGACAAGGTAAAGTGCAGCGGGAATGGGATACACTTTAACTTCATCCCACGTAGTGCTCAACCTAAAAACAGCAAGAGATTAATAGAATATGAGAGAAAAGAACTAGCCATTTTATAACAGTAAACAACCTTTTTTTTTAACAGAAAACAAACCTTAGTATCCAAATTCTTATTCAACAGACAAGTTAAATAAAAATGTTTGACGGTCTGCAGTGTTAATCCACCAAGGCAATCTTCCAAAGGAGGTAACTTATTTTGTTATTCATTAGTCATAAGTTGATATACAGATTACAGTGAAAATTTTAAAAGCTAATAGTAAATGGCTTAATGAAACCAAAGCTAATTCATATACATAGGAAAAATCTAATAGTAAGATGGAATAAACATCAAAATTTGGATCTAAAAATCTGCTTAAGTTAACCATGAGCCTTGTGTGCAAATACCCCTATGATCTTAAAAGGTAGGGTATCCAACTGAGTTTACTAATATGTGAAAATGCATTTTCCACATCAGCCAAGGGTTTAGCCTAGTGGTCAATGAAATGAGTACAAACCTAGGGTTCAAATCCCAGCAAAGGCAAAAAATACCAGGTGATTTCTTTTCATCTGCCTAAGCCATGGTAAGTAGAGTTACTCGAATACTATGTTGGTGGAAAGTGGCAGGTATTCGGCGGAATAGCCGAGGTGTGCGCAAATTGGTCTAAACACCACCATTATCACAACAATAACAACTACTCAGTCTCAAACAAGTTAGGATCGGCTATATGATTTCTCCATTTAAATTCATCTCAAGCAAACACTATACAAAATAAAAACAAAAAGTATGATGAGTTCTCAATATATTCTCCTATCCCCAAATGTATGCTTGCATGCTCAAGTAGAAATTTATAACACAAATGGAAAAAAAAGGGGCAAAAATTAGCATTTTCAGCTTTTTATCCCCTGGAAACTGAAATTTAACAATAAAAATAGTGTTACAAACCTGTTATCATCAGTAACGCCGTCCTTTCTCCAGATTCTTACCAATGCCGCAAGAGACAATGCACATTTCAATGCCTCTACCTAATTACATAGAAGCTTTAAGTCAAATTACACAGCAAAGTAACAATTGAGGAATAGTTTACGACTATAAACTAAAAACAACACTAAGAATCAGCAAAATAACTGTTCTTCCATTCCACTAACCAGAAAATTAGCAGTTGTTACACTGTACTCATACTTTCCAGCTCTCTTCGACCACACAATGAGTATCGATTGTGAACTCGTGAGAACCGTCAGAATTAGTGTTACAGCTGACCTACAAACAAACAAAACATGAACAATTATTCTCATTATTTAAACACGGATCATTTCGCAATTTTTTAAAGCTGAAACGAGGATGAAAGAGAGAGAAAAACCTTCGGCTTTTCTGTTTTAGGCCATTCATCTCCGGCATTACTCCGATCGCGGCCATGATTTATGCTTTTGATGATTTTTCCGATCTCGAATTTCTAGGATTTCATCAGGAGATTCGTCGAGCGCGTTAGGGAAGTGTGATGATGAAGCTTCCGAATCACAGTTAGCTCGGAGATTGCAGATTCAGTCACTGGTTGTGTGAAGAAGTGGAAGTGGTATTGGGCTTGGACGATTCTATTGGATTGGGCTTTGAAAATGGGTGATTTGCACAAATAGGACACTTTGATACCACTATTAATTTTTTGACCCCGCTTGCCACATGCGCATTACAAGTATTGGCCATCAACTGCCCCATGGATAACGATTTTGACTTATAAATTAAAAAGTTTGCCCATGAACAAGGGGAGGTTAAAATCAAAGTCATTGAGCGTAATTTCCTTTGTTTTCACAGGCATGCTAGAATTATTTTTGGCCCATCTACAAGTTTATTCTTTTCTTATTTATCTCTCTTTCTTTTTAATCGTTCTTCTAAAACTTAATCGAGATTGTTAGTGAAGGGGAAGCTCAAGAACAGTAAAAAAAATAATCTTTTAAATCGTTCTTCTAAAACTTAATCGAGATTGTTAGTGAAGGGGAAGCTCAAGAACAGTAAAAAAAATAATCTTTTAAATCGTTCTTCTAAAACTTAATCGAGATTGTTAGTGAAGGGGAAGTTCAAGAACAATAAAAAGAAAAGGCAAATTAGATGATTCAACGACTACACATAAATCGAGAAATGTGTATTGACAAGCTAAGATCAAGCAATTGATTACGAGACAAGTCAAGTAAAAACATTGAGATGTTAAGAAGTTAATTACATATCGAATCATCTTCGTTATAGTTATCGGTAGATTAAAAAAAGGGAATCTTTATATAACCAATTATATTCATTGTTTATTTGTCTTGTAATTATACAAAGTTAATATTTGATTATTTATATATTATTCATCCATCAACTATTTTAAATTTAAGTGATTGAATAAATAGCTATTTAGGTTAATTATTCTAAAAAGAAATACTAGCATATTTGTTGATGTAACGTCAATCTAAGGGAAAAGAATTTGGTTCCTAATTTTCTTTGTTGTTGTATTACATGTAACGTTGTTGTTATTCCTGTCGTTTTCCATCAACATAACAAAAGGTGAATAGAAAAGAAAGTCACTCATTTTCACTTTCCCCAATTTCCATTCTATTCTCTATTGAACCCATAACCTATACATACGCACAATCCAATCCCATCCGTGTATATATACAGATCGAGAAGGGTGGGGTGGCGTGGGTGAAAAAGGAGAAATGGCATCGGAGGATGAATTGATGATGCAGGACGCCACCGACGACGGAGAATCATTCGACGATGACTTCTACAGCGGCGGCGACGCCCATGACTCCGACGAAGATGATGTCATGGATTACGATTTCAACGACAACGAATCCGACGATGATTCCGATACGCTCCTCGCTCATAACCGTTCTCAGGTACATACTTTGAATATAATATAAATAAATTATGATTTTTAGTTTTTTTTTGTTTCTTCATTTTTGAGCTGTAAGCTTAGGAACTTTTGAATTTGGAGCGGTTTTTATTCTTTTTATGATTACTGGAAATAGTTTATGTTAGTAAAATAAATTTAAATGGACGATTGTTTCAGCTGCTAATTAAGGTTTTATAACCATTTTTTTGTCAACTAGAGTTCCGGTGCTCAACTAACATTTTTGTTGTTTCCAAATCCTTATTTTGGCAATTGAAACCTAGATTTGTGACGACAGGGGGAAATATCTGTACTACGAGCTTAGAATTGATTTGCGTGGTCTTCCATATTTAGTAGAAGGGGAAAAGAAAGGAAAGAGCTTTATAGGACTAATTGGGGTTGCCTTATTCAAATTCCGGCGAGGGCAAAAGAACACAATGTGATTGACTGCTTTATTTGTATTTGCCTAAGCCTTAGGCAAAGTCACCCGTTATCTGTGCAGTGGGAGGTAGCAGGTACCGGTGGAATAGTTAAGGCGCACACAAGTTGCCCGGATACCACTGTCATGAAAAGTAAAAAGAATAATTGGGGTTGCCTGAAGAATACATTTTAGTTTCTTGAAGACAGACAGGAGCATTAACCATTGCCTTCGCTTGGTACTCATAGTGCTTGCTCTTTTCTCCCGATTTTCTGCTATTAGGTTGCGGAGTCTAGTGTCCACATTATGCTTTTTTTTTAAAAACAAGGGTTTTGTAATGGTACTTCTTTGAGCAGAAGATTGGGTGCAAGTGTCTTCTCTAATCATAGCTCTTGAAGCTTCTGTGTTGTGAAACTAAGATATCTCACCTCCTGCATCGACTACAGAAGTATGTTCCTAATGGGGATACTATAAGTCTGATATGGCATAATGACAAAAGTATGTTCCGAATAGGGATACTATATGTTTTTTCTCAAAAAATAGGGATATTATAAGTCTGATATGGAATAATAATGGGGCTACTCAAAGATTTTAAAAGGCTAATCTCTAAGAACTTGGAATACCATACCTCAAGCCATTTGGTGGACTGTCTGGCTTGAAAGAAACAATAGAATTTTTGAAGGCACAACGAGCAACATTCACAACCTTAAACAGAGATGTATTTTTTTGTTAGCTTTTTGGTGCAATCTGGTAATTGAACATGATGTAGATGGAATGCTAGATACAATTGAGGGTTTGCGCAACCTGTAATTATGCCTGATGCACTGGCTTAGTACATAAATTTATAATATCTTTAATTACTTATCAAAAAAAGGGAAAAGATTTTAAAAGGATACTCCAAGTAAACGTTTGGACATAAGAATTGTAAAATTCCGAAAAAAGTAAAAAAAAAATTCAAGTGAAAATGGTTTTTGAAAATTAGAGTTGTGTTTGGACATGAATATAATTTTGGGTTGTTTTTGAATTTTTATGAATGATCTGAGTGAAAATTTTGAAAAACAGCTTTTTGGAGTTTTTCAAATTTTCGAAAAGTGAAAATTGGAAATTTTATGGCCTAACATTATTTAAAAAAAAGTGAAAATTTTTCGGAAAAAAGTGAAAAAATTTTCATGGCTAAACGGGCTCTAAGTATCGTATTTGTGGCAGTCCAAGTAGAATTAGAGGTCCAGCATGCTGTGAAAACTGAAACCTAATTTATCATGGATTGTGGAAGGAATAAGTAAGTATATTTGGGCTGAATATGGGTGCTCCAAGGAATGCTCGAGTAGTGTAGGAACATTTTCTGTGTGGTGCCTGGTAAGAAATACCACTGGCTAAACCAAGTTGCACATTATGTCTTTTTTGATGCCAAAACTTTAGAAGAACAGGTTGTGGAAAAGAAGCACCTTCGGGTTGGAGGTATTATAGATTTGATTAGGCAGGGAAGTGATAGTCTGGCTGCTGTTTCTGATTCTTAATGCTGATGTTTTTACCACTTCCATTACTGAATTCTGAGATTCTGGATATATTCTTAAGATTGAAGAGTAATACCTTGACAAGGGACCTGAATCACCTAATGTCCTGAGGGATTATAGATCCAAAAGAAATAATAGAAGGATAGAGCAGAAGAACTTGTGGAGTAAGTGTAATAAAAAGACTTTAAGGATGAGTTCTGTTTACAGCAGGGAATTTCTTGATGCTGCTCTCGTCCACTTCGGTTGAGTCTGCATGTTATGTAGATCTAAAACAAATCTCAGACTTGTGTGGTCCTCCCGCTCCTTTGGAGGCCCCGTTATGAAGTTTATTTCTTCAAAGGAAGGGACTTAATTATTTGGGTCTTGTGAACGGCCATAAGATGTTGCAAGTATTCATGTGGACTTCGAAGAGAGACAGGGGACGAGATTTTGAATAGGAATGGAATCTCATTTGATAATTATAGTGTAATTCTAGAGAAATTGTATGCTTATGATTAATAAGCTTTAAGTTATCATATGGATCTCTTTAAGCCAAATACAATTACACATTTGTTGTAATCTGATAATAAATCTGGAAAACACTAGGTTTAGCCGTTTAGTACATTAGCTACTGCTAAACTTTGCTTAATTATTCTAGTTTTTGATAAAGTGAATTAACTATTGAATTCCCAGTGGGTAACCATGGTTATCCAGTGGTTGTGATCTTTAACAAGCTATTTCTTTTTTGATAACCATGGTGTTCGGACCAGCTTCTGCTTACCTCGACTAATTCGACGGGATACATGCTACCTGCCGCCAGTGCATGTACTGGTAACTGTGTCCACCAAGGCGTGGACAGATGAGATGAAATCACTTAATCTTTTTGCCTCCGCTGAGATTTGAACTTGAGACCTCATAGTTCTTAACCCACTTCATTGACCATGAGGCCACACCCATGGGTTTTATCAAGTTATTTTCTCTACCAAATGCTTGCTTACAAGTTACAACAAGTTCTCATTTTTAAAAAAAAAAAACTTTTTCGGCTGATACTTTGATTTACCTTTTCTTTAGTCAAATTTTAGCATCTTGAATGAAGCTGATATTCACAAACGCCAAGAGGATAGTATTACAAAGATATCTACAGTGCTCTCCATTTCAAGGGTAGCTGCTGGTATTCTGCTTCGCCATTATAACTGGTAAATTCTTTTAATAAGACATAAGCATTATTTTGTAGTTATGATTATATATACTAGATGTTGATATAGAATGGGTATTGAGCTAGAAGTTTTCCCTGTCCTCAGTTAATTTTTGTGGCCATCAGTAAATTTGTAGAGCATGCAAATTGTTCTAGTCATATAGAATGCTTGGGCATCTAGGTTCTTAAAGTCTGATGCACATTGCTCTTACTTACAACATAGTAGAAAACTGGGAAGGTTTTGGGGCTTATATGCTGAATATCCTAGCCTTTACTGACAGGAGTGTCAGCAAAGTGAATGATGAATGGTTTGCAGATGAAGGAAAGGTCCGCAGGATTGTTGGTTTATTAGAGAATCATGTGCCGCTCCCTGATGAAGAAGAGGTAATTAAATTTCATAGAGGAAGAGCGTTTTCTTCCTTTAGATTGGATGAAAACTAGAGTCTTAACATTGATCGCTACTATTTCCTTGAATTCAAGATGCAAATTTTCTTTCTTGCAGCTTACATGTGGGATCTGCTTTGATGATTATCCTCGTAATGAGATCACTGCTGCTGCTTGTGGTCATCCTTTTTGTCTCACCTGT